ATGGATTACATGGCTCATGGTACCGCAAAAATGGGAATCAGCTCCCTTATGATCCTGAATTAGCAAAGTTGTATTCCAAAGATGAGTTGGAATATTGTCTTACTTGCTTCACTTCAAGCAATAAATTCAAATTCGCGATCGTAGCCACATGATGGCATTGTTGTATAGTAAAAGATATTATTCCGCAGTATGAACAAAAATATCTATTTTTTTATTTACAATCAATAAAGCCAAGGCACATTAAACGCAATATATTTATATGTCAATATCTAGTATGTATTGAGAAGTATGGGATTGTGTTGGTATGCTAATATTTCTCGATCAGTTTTTCATCCGGATCCAGACCTGAAAAATTTTGATAAATGCGCAGTATCATTAGGATAGATCACCATGTATTACGAGAAAAAGTCATTGTACCTATAATTTATTCTCGAAGTTTCCCGCATATACTCAAGTTTTGCATGTATTAATAATAAAAAGACCCCTTGTTGATCCAGGGACATGATCCCAGTGTCTATTATGATTTTAAGGAGTATCCGTTGATCTGATTTTCGTGATGAATCATAATAACGTAATTTCACCCAAGATTTATTCCAAAAATCGATCCTTAAACCCACTACAAATCATATAAAAAGGTGAGGCCTTATTTAGTGAATCCCTTTATCCACCTTGTGCAAGTAAAGCAAAAAGAAATCAAAAGAAATATTCAAACTTACCACTATTAACATCAACAATATCAACAATCAATCAAACGAGTATATTCCGCAAAGTAATAGCGAAGTTAGTTTGTTTGATTTCTTGACTTGATTCTAGAAAATCGCCAACACGATGCTAATCGTTTTTCCCGGCTCTATAGATGCTCATAGATAAAGCGGACACATTACCTTTCTTGATTCTTTCCGTACATTTGATATTCGCCGAGAAAATCGTGATCATTGTCATGTGTCTAATCAGCGCAGTATTAATTTCTATCAGATTTTCGTCACATGCTGAGATACAGTGCGCAGTATATCGAATAAAATTTTCCGGCAATGGCATCCGAATTCTTGATGCTTGGCGCAATATATAAAAAAATCGAAACACAACGCATTAAATAACAAATTTCTTGAATATGAGGAAGAATGGAATGTTGTGAAAATGAAGTATAGCGGTAAGTGTAAATCGGAAGTCTCACCTTGTTTTATTTCTCCGTTGCTAATCTCAGAATTCATCATACAGGTTCGAAATTATTTCATCTTGGGGAAATTCTCTTGCAGGAAATAATCTATTACATAGTCTGTGTGAGTGGGAGTGATGTAGATAGACGAAAATTCTGTAGATATAAGTGGTGTAATTTATTTCGAAATTCTAACATTTAATCAAATTTTTTTCGGAATTTAAAACGTGCGATCACAAGAATTTTATCATGTGATCATTAAATTTATAGATACGCAAGTTTCAAAGAAATTTCCATAAATAGTTCGATTTTTAACGAAAATGTTAGTATTTATATATTTTTGTATTTCAGTACATAGGCTATGGCTAAAGTCTGGCATGATTATTTTAACAAAACCGATGTTGAAGCATGGTCGATTCTCCATTTCCAACAAAATTGGGAACGTATTCATGAAGGAGATTATAAACCGCTTAGTTACGACAAGGCAACTGACGCGCTTACCAAAAGTCTCTTCGCAATTATTAATAAAAGTTTAGATACCAAGAAAATTAAGAAAGCTAATAGCCTTTTAACCACTCTTCAGGTCTATATTTTATGTCCTCCCGAATTATCTGTTCTTCTACTTTAGCTATCTGCAACTTTTAGTCATCCGCAACTTTTAGTTGTGTAGAACTTTAGTTATCCAAACTTTAGTTATCCAAAGCTTTTAGCTGTCTGCGACTTTTAGTCATCAAAAACTTTTAGTTATCCGCAACTTTTAGTTGTGTAGGACTTTTTAGTTGTAGTTGTCCAGAACTTTTAATTGTCCAAAATTAGTTATCCGCAGTTTCTATAATAGTTACTAATATTATTTGATTTTCTACTGTCAGAATAAGCAGGCTATTGCAAACGTGAAACGCATGCTTCGCCGGAACATGAATAGTAAAAATATCGATACAGGAAACTACCTACAATTTTCATCTTGCTCCGATGTACGAATTGAGTCTGTTTCTACAGGTGATCCAGTCAATGGACAAAAGCGAAAAAAAAATTTATCATTACCAAAGGTTAGAATAAGATTATAACAAACTTTTGGCATAAAATGTGTTCTTGAATTTTATAATGAGCATTTTTTAATGACTATCATTATATCTGCAGGACAAAAAATTAATTGATACATCTGCCTCAAAGAAGGTCAGTATGGAGTATAATCCTATGATAAGGGTTTGTTCACGGATTTTTACTATTTGTTGTATGAACAGGTCAAGCATAATGATAATAAAGCCGAAGGATCTGCGAGTTATGTGAAAGATACGTTATCATCATCGTCTCTAGAAACGGTAGCCGAAACAGAAAGTGCGGGGTCTAATAGCCCCGGGCACTTAGAAAAAGAGGACGATGACCAATCTCTTTTTTCGGTAGGCCCTTGATATAAAGTTTTTGAAGATGACAGCGAAAATTTTTAGCTAGAAGTTCAAATGTGAAAATAAAGGATTGCTGTGATTGTCTCGATGCCTTGGTTAATAGGACGTTTAGATGAATTCACTTTCCTTCTCAACATATAGGTTGATGATGATGGGCCCTCTATGCCTACGGATGAAAGTAGTGGATATGATGCGGTTAGTAAATGATTATAGGTATGCTTATTAAAATGAGAAACTGATTAGTCTTTAAAAATTATATATAATAGAATTACGGCGATCTGTCTCCATCCGAAATAGCGAAAGAACAATATGTTAGTGAGAAATTTAATCCAATAGCTATTCAAAACAATTCAAGTGGTATTTCATCATTGATTTCTATTATGGTGAAATATTGTGAGAAGAATACGACATCAAAGTTTGAGTAAGTTTAATGTGAGTTCATTCTTCCGATTCACTAAACATAATTTACATCAATATGTCAATTTAGTCCTGCAAACAGTTACATTCTTGATCTTTCCTCGAAATCAACGATTGCAAAAGAATTCACACCAGAATGCTGGTCTAAATTGATCGCGGATTGTCCTAACGTTGTCACTGTAGAATATCATAAAGAGTTGGATGTGATATTCGAATACTTATTTGGAAAACAGGTATATTATTGTTTGATGATGTATACATATTTTAATGTATATCCTTTTATTGTGGTATTATTATTAATACTTCAAATATATTTTTGTAGATTAAAAATGTTCAGCAAGCTCGAGTTCAATGGGAAAATTTAAGGAGCATCAAAGCTCCAGAGTATAAAAGTGAATTCTCATACGGGATTGACGAATGGAAAAAAATATTATGGTGGATAGAGTGGGCAGTAGGCCGATTGTAAGTTAAACCACTTTTTTTGAGATGCTATATAGTTTATACCTAATATTATTCGTTTTTTTATTTGCAGTCTCAATGCATTCGAAACCAAGCGAAATCCTTTGTTACAGAATAATTGTCATGAAAGGGAATTTTTGGGAGGTTATTTAGTTCCCATCTTTCAAGGTGCATTGGCACTTGATGGACGTTTTCGAGTATCATGGTTTGTTATCACAATTGAGTCGTAATTTTATTGTTACAAAGATAATAACTATTTTTTTGATTACTTTGTTACTGTGATAGGGGTGAAGTTACGGTACAAGCTTCCATGCAAAGACGTAATAATAACAAAATTATTTTAGAAGAAAAGGTAGATCGTGGCCACTTAACAGACTTGCTGTGCTCCACCGAATCTTACGAAATGTTGTGTTTATTGGCATGTGGTGGTCCACACAAAGTTGATTTCACAAAACTAGCATCTGATGAATTTAATCTTCCACGGCTCTTGAAAGACACCCTTGATGATATTCGAGAGAAGTATAACAAGGAGAACAAATCATGTCTGTATACAATAGGACTTCAAGTAAGTAATTATAATAATAGTCTGAACTATAAAAAAGAATTTGGCAACAAAAAAATCATAATAAATTTCTTTTTAGCAATATAAGTCAGAAGTTCGCGTTTATCTTATGGAATTACGAGATGTCTACCGGCTTCATCATCTAAAAACATTATATCTTCCTTTAACATTTTCAACTTATCGTAATTTACGTGTTAGTTTAAGTTGGGCATGGAATATCCGGGTTTGTAATAAATATAATATTTATGATTTAAACATCTTTATTTGTTGCTAAATAATAAACATCATGCTCGGTTTGCAGGGCTTGGTGAATGATTTATTAGAGAAGCTCATCGATGATTGTGAAGAAATAGGTTCGGTTACTCCTCAACACTATTCAAACAATATGAACACGTCAGATTCGCCTAGCAAAACCAAAAAGAAAAAAATCCAAAAGTAATTAAGCAAATTGGGATAGATAATAATTTCATAATTTCTTTACTTATATCATTGCGAACATTTTAATAAACAAAATAACAATATTACATATTTCACGTGTTAAACCCTATACTAATTTTGTGTATGTAATGGCATTTACATCTTGCTTACATGTGCAATTTCTCATAACGTTTTTTTTTGGCAAAGTGATCGGCATTACACGCATGTATTTTATTTTCCCGTCAATAAAGTGTCTGGTGGTCGATTATATTCATCCATATTTTTTTCATGTGGGATATGCACCGGATAATAAAATTTTTTGAATTTCAGCCGGGGCCCCCAGCCAAAATCACATGATTTTTTATTTTTGAATATTAACATACTAATAGATGATTCCAGATTGGCCGATTCATTGAAAATATGCATTGCCAGGCTTGAGTTCGAGAATGATAAAATTGAGGCTGAGAACAATAAAATTATGGCCGAAAATGTTGAGCTTAAGGCCAGAGTTGCGAAATTGGAAGACAAGCTATCGCAAAACGAATTAATAAAAAAACTTGTTATCTGTATCACGAAAAACATGATCATGTATTAATTTGGCGAAATTTCTTCAGCGCCGGGGCACCCCTGCCAAAGTGATTTTTTCTTGCTGACCAATGGTCGGGTGTCATGTGGATTTTGATCGGAGTTTTCTAGCAGATCTTTCGCGATATTGACGTGTAAATTTATTCACACTTATTACCCGAATGTAGTGAATGCCCAGAATTCTTTAATTCTCAGAATTTTTATTAGTTACCTATGGTAACAATGACTAGCATACTAACACCATCTTTTCACATATATTACTTGAAGCAACTTA